CAAGCGTAATCAAGAAACCGTTTCGCTGTCTTGGATTTTTTTTCGTCTTTCGAACGAGAAGGTTGTTGATGTGAAATTATTGAAAATAGCGTTCATTAATGCAAATTACAGTTAGTAATTTGTATTATTTTGTTTTTAGTATGAGAGAATTGAATTAGTTTTTTGTTTTTGGAATGAGAAGATCGTACACGAATGTTGATGCAAACTAGAATTAATAATTTATTAATTGATTGACAGATCAGAGTCAGTTAGTCAGTTTTGCCATGTGATTTATTTGGCGCCTATTATATGTTGCAAGAGTAGAACAGTCTAAAAGAGATGGCGAAGAATTAGAATTACTCCAATTTTACTTTTCATCATCCACTAATTAAGTTTCGCAAATTCTTCCTTTCTCAAACTACAATTGAACAGAAACCGAAAGACAAATGGACTCTCCTCTGGCGGGTCCATCGCGCGGAATCGGCGTCGTTGAACGAAATCGAAAGAGGAAAAAAAAGAAGCACAGCCGAGCCGTGGAAAAGTTCCGAAGTTGCCAAGAGATAACGAGCCATCGGCCACTATCTCGACCCGTTTTCTGATTCCAATTAAGTAGTCACAGACTCTATTATCTTGGAGATGCACAATTTCGTGCTGTTCGTGTTGCGAAATAGCGATCAAACCACGCGATCTTGGATCGGTGATGTTTTTTTTTTTTATAATATCAGATCTTGTTAGAAGGAATGTCACGCTGTTCGAAGATTTCGGTGATACTAAATCGAATAAAAGTTCGAATATCAATGTCAAACGAAATGGGCGATTGAAATGAAAGTGGCGTTTGTTCGATGCGATATAATCGTGACAATCTCCTTGATTTTCAAAAGAAGCAATAATTTAACTACAAGTATCTGCTTTATACTAAGACACATCAAGGTACGATAACGTAGTGGATAACCTAGTTTCGCGGATCAACTTGTATCTAGCTGATTCGAGTACGTATTTCTGTTTTGTTCGGTAGTGGGGATAAAATAGATATCTCGCATTCGATGTATTTTGGATTCTTAATTGCCGCTTTATCTAAAGTACTAAATAAAGTAGTTTTATACTGGCAATGAGTTGAATGACGATGAAGTAACAGTGTATATTGGAATGAAATAATTAAGACTATCCATGATGAAACTGATGAGATAATAGATTGATTTTGTCAGATTGATTTTGAAGGAAAATTTTCATAATTAGACTGGGGATTTTTATCTATAATATAAAAAAAAATATATAAAGTATTAAGTAAATATATAAAATATATAAAATATTAAACAATTCTGTCTATGATATTTTGTAGGTAAAACAATTATCTATCGTGATTCTGCTTTCTTCTAAATTCTCAAAATTTTGAATTTGCGTGAAAATCCGTAGTCTCCTTTTATTTTCTTATTTATGTAAGTATATTTAATGTAAGTATATTTTTAAATTTTCAAATGAAACTATCGATATTTTGATGTCTCAAACGCATACGAATTACGAAGTTTTTAAAATAATCAATACTTTCACGAAATTCTTCTTCTTTAATTTGGATGATATTTTTGTTCTCTTTTTATGCATATTCAATGCAGAATTAAGTTTATTTTCAATGAATCGCCGATCATTAGAGGTTGCGCATTCCTAGTTCTTCTATTTTATATTTTTCCATTCGTAGATTGACAAAATATTATGATAATGAATACGTGTGAAATATTTAGGAAAGAAAAATTAAGTATTGTTTTATTTAATCTTTTCTACAAATAAGGAACTTGCTACGTGATCTCTTGATATATGATACGTACCCTTTTTTACAGCCACGTGTACGTACAACAATGTTTATCTGCTTACCGAGATAAAATTTTTCTGTTCGTGAGTTCAGGATTAAAAATGTTGGTAATGAATGTTACATTTTCCCAGTTCAAAGAGACGAATACATATTTGATGTTGAGTAACAGACATTTTACATTTAGAAAACTCGTAAAATATCATTACGAAAATCACATTTTATGTTCCTACAATGAAATTTGTTTGCTAATTTATAATAGTTAATCCGCCTTCGAAATAAAATATTGATCTTTACACATTTTGTATAAATCAGACTAAAAAAAATTCTAGGAAATATTATTTAAACTTTAATTATTTTTATTTTACTTGTTAATCAATATAATACCGAAAGTGACTATTATTTTCATCTCGAATATTATCTATGCAGGTAAAGGATTAATTTTTCGAAATTTTTCATAAAATATCTAGTTTTATATTGATACACGCTTTTGTACCATGTACAACTTTATCTGGCTACGTAAGAATTATGTATAATTTTTTTTTATCTGGCTGCGTAAAAATTATCAATTATCTGTTTCGATTGTACGGCATTTTTAAGTTACCGATAAACTCGAGACCTCGATTTCAAGTATGCTCGGTAACTTACTAAGAAACTGGTTTTAGATTTCTGACGAGTACAATGATTGATTGCTCCCTAGAAATGTCAAACGCGATAGTAATTACCTCTGATTAATAATAGGTGAAATAATATATATATATATATATATATATAAATTTCTTCAATCTCTTCCTAA